CCCTAACCCTAAACCGTAACCCTAACCCAAATGTAACCCTAACCCTAACGCTAACCCTAACGCTAACCCTAACCCTAACCCTAACCCTAAACCGTAACCCTAACCCAAATGTAACCCTAACCCTAGCACTATCCTTAAACTCTAACCCTAACCCTAACCCTAACCGTAACCCTAACCCAAATGTAACCCTAACCCTAGCACTATCCTTAAACTCTAACCCTAACCCTAACCCTAACCGTAACCCTAACCCAAATGTAACCCTAACCCTAGCACTATCCTTAAACTCTAACCCTAACCCTAACCCTAACCGTAACCCTAACCCAAATGTAACCCTAACCCTAGCACTATCCTTAAACTCTAACCCTAACCCTAACCCTAACCGTAACCCTAACCCAAATGTAACCCTAACCCTAGCACTATCCTTAAACTCTAACCCTAACCCTAACCCTAACCGTAACCCTAACCCAAATGTAACCCTAACCCTAGCACTATCCTTAAACTCTAACCCTAACCCTAACCCTAACCGTAACCCTAACCCAAATGTAACCCTAACCCTAGCACTATCCTTAAACTCTAACCCTAACCCTAACCCTAACCGTAACCCTAACCCAAATGTAACCCTAACCCTAGCACTATCCTTAAACTCTAACCCTAACCCTAACCCTAACCGTAACCCTAACCCAAATGTAACCCTAACCCTAGCACTATCCTTAAACTCTAACCCTAACCCTAACCCTAACCGTAACCCTAACCCAAATGTAACCCTAACCCTAGCACTATCCTTAAACTCTAACCCTAACCCTAACCCTAACCGTAACCCTAACCCAAATGTAACCCTAACCCTAGCACTATCCTTAAACTCTAACCCTAACCCTAACCCTAACCGTAACCCTAACCCAAATGTAACCCTAACCCTAGCACTATCCTTAAACTCTAACCCTAACCCTAACCCTAACCGTAACCCTAACCCAAATGTAACCCTAACCCTAGCACTATCCTTAAACTCTAACCCTAACCCTAACCCTAACCGTAACCCTAACCCAAATGTAACCCTAACCCTAACCCTAACCCTAATAGTCCTTTACTTTTGATTTATGTATGTCCTTGTCAGTGAGGTGTGTTTCTTATAAGCGACATATAGAGGGTTTCTGTTTTTTTTTTTTTTTTTTTTTTTTTTATACTTAGAGCCAGTCTGTATTTTATCTGAGGAATTTAATCCATTAACTTTCTAGATTATCATCAATATGTGCAGACTTATTTCTATAATTTCATTACTCTCTTTTTTAATTATTTTGTGTTTTATTTCTTTATCTCTCTTTAATTTTCCTAATGTAGTATTCCTTTTTGAATTTCCTGAAGAATTGGACTAGTGTCGATGAACTCTTTCAGCTTTTGTTTATCTGGGAATGACTTTATTTCTCCTTTCCATTAATCTTGCCTGGTATACTATTCCTGGCTGAAAATATTTTTCTTTTAGAGTTTTAAATATTTTAAAATATGCAATACTTAACACATTTACATGCATCCTTTGTAGTGGTCATGCTAATGTCCTCTCTATAGCTTCAATTTTGGCATATATGCTTCAAAATAAAGTATGATTTTTTAGTTCTAACAGTAGTGTGTAAAAGTAGCGGTCTCAGGGACCTGCAGTTAGCGTTAATGGTCAAGTCGCTGAACTCCCATGTAGTTGACCATGGTTCAAGTCCCAGACCCGGGGGCTTAAGCTCATGCCATGCACATGTGCGTGCATGCCCAAGATCCCGAGAAGATAATGGAGGGGAACGGATTGCGATGTCGCCATCCCCCCTGAGGGGTGATTTCTCACTCTCTGTCTCTCTGTCTCTCTCTGTCTTTCTGGCGAGCGCACATGCCCTATAGCAAAATAAATAAATAGATAAAAAACTTCTAAAAGAAAGTTTTAGTCTTACCATATTTAAAATTCTTTTTCAAAAATAATACGAGAAATTATGTTTCATTGTCATTTTAATTTGTAACATTTTTATTATTGGTAGCATAAAAATTTTCATGTTTCTCAGCTACATTTAATTCTTAGTTAAATATTTTAATTTTTAAATTTGCCTAGTTATTATTTTACAATACTTTTTAAAATTCTTTTTTTTTCTTTTGCCTTAGGACATGTGTGCTCACTGGAGAGATGAGACTCCGAGAGGGAAGTGAGAAATCACCCCCAGTTGGCTGTAGTTCTGCCTCAGAGGGTGACCATGAGCATGCACCCAGTGCGCCTTTCAAGCTGCTAGGTCCAGGTCTCAAACTGTTCAGTCAACCATGTGGAATCCAGCTGCCTTAACCCCCATGCCACCTGACTAGTCTTTATTTGAGCCATTCTTACAACTATATAGTAACAACTCAATAATTTCAATAATACTTAATACTTAATTTCAATAATACTTTTCTAATTTCTAAATTGTTGAACATTTTTATGTGATAATTTTTTCTTTACATACCATTTTGATGACTTCTTTTCTGTATGTCTCATGCCTATTTTATAACTGGATTTTTAAAATTATTATTTCATTTGAGAGTTCTTTAGACATTCTAGATTATAGTCCTTTGGAGGATAATGTGTTTGCAAAGGAATCTTATCCCAGTCCGTAGCTCGTATTTTTATCCTCTTAATAGGGTATTTTACGGGAAAATAATTTTATTTGATGACTTACAATTTGTCAGTGATTCGCTTTATGGATTATGCTTTTGATATCCATCCTAGGAACTATTTGCCTAGCCTTCGATCCTAAAAATTATCTATGCTCTTTCATACAAGTTTTATAGTTATACATTTAATTATGTTTTGTGTTTTGATTTTGAGTTAAGTTTTGTATAAGATGGATATATATTAAAAAAAGTCAACATTTATTAGACTGTTTCTTCCCAATTTATTCTTGCTTTACAAAATTCTTCGTTGGTATTATAGTTGTTTTGCTGTTCCAAATCTATTTTAGAATAACATTTCAATATCTATTAAAATTTATTTTTTATAAGGCATATGTGCTCACCAGAAAGAGAAAAAAGAAGAGGGCAAGTGAGAAATCAGCCCTCTGCCCAAAAGGGATGGCCATACAGCAATCCCTTCTGAATTTTTTTCTGGGGGTTTTGGGCATGCACATGCACTAGGCATGTTTTTCAAGTTGCCAGATCTGGGACTTGAACCTTAGAGTAAGCCATGTGGGGGTCCAGTGCCTTAACCTCCACATCACCTTCTGGCTTAGCAATTGCTTTAGAATTTTATGATCACAAGTGGTCTAGGCTGGCAGTCAGTGGCAAATGGAACTGCAGAAGCAGAAGCCACATGGCCAACCATGCATGTATAGAGATTTGCCAGGCACAAGTGTGCATGTTTGAGATCCTGACAAACTGGAGGCCTCAGGAAGGGGAATTGTGGCATGGAGATTCTGGCAAATGTGTTTCTCTCTCTCTCATGTGTGCACATGAGGTATCTGAAAAGGAGGTAATTGGACCAAAGAATAAGGAAAAAAGCCCTGCAAGGACCTTACAGGAGCTGAAACAGGATGAGTTTAAGGACCTGAAAGAAAGCAGGGAATTTGTACATGAAGACTGAGGTAAGGTCTTGGTATAGGGTGAAATTAGAGAGGTAAGGGTAGACTATAAAAGCGTAAGCTGATATAGTACTCAATAGGCTGTGGCACAGCAGTAATGTATTGCCCGCAAGAAGCTGAATCCCACAAGATGACTGAGGTTTGATTCCCCGTCCAGGTCAGCCTGAAATGCACTGGGCACAGGTGAATGCCTAAGATCTGACAGACTGGAAGACAGGAAAAGGGGCATCACCAGACCCTGCGGAGGGTCTTCCTCTCTCTTCCCTCCTCTTGCTCTCTTTCTGTCACTTGCACATGTATGTGCATATGCTTTATTATGAATAAAGAAAAATTACTAAAAAACATTATTTTAATTCTAAAATCAATGGAAAGCTTTTGCAAATTTTAGAGGCTGGTGGTGATGGTATTCATTCATATTTTGGAAAGATCACTTTAGTTGCAACATAGAGAACTCATCAGGAGAAAACTAGGTAGGGGACAAGTTAAATTGCATATTGCTTTAATAAGGGTAAGATATTTTGGTGGCCTGTACTTTGATGATAGCCATTAAAATGAAAAGATATTGATCTTAGAAACAATAACCGACATAGTGAGTAATCAAGTAGTTTACATTTATAGAGTGGGACAGCCACAGTGGCACTAGTAGGAAGGCGCCACTGTATGAGGGCTGGGACTACGTGGGAAGCCCAGGTTTGGTTCCTAGCCCAGCCTAATTATGCCAGGCCTGGTGGTATGTGCTTATGGTCCTAGTTAACTTGTAAGTTGGAGTAGGAAGATTGCAATGCAGTGAGACCAATAAAAACACACTGCCTTCTCTCTTTCATAAAGAAAAACAATACTATGACAGTATTGCTGATGGTAACATTCATAAGACAGAAACACTGCATTGGTATCAGCTGTTAAATAAAGCTGTAGTTACTGTTGAGATGCCATAAGCAAAGAGCAGAGAGAGAAGACAACGCATCCTGTGACCAAGTGTTAAGAATTATAACACGGAGTGGCTAGGGAGTAGAGTATAGGTTTTCAAAAGAAGTTTAAACAATGCAGCCAAATTTGGAGGAGGGCACTTGAAGGGTGTAGGGTCTCAAAAGTACAGTAGAAAGTGTGGTTAACAGAATGCAGCTGGAAGGTTCATTGTTTTCATAGCAAGAAGATCCTCCATGACTTTAGCAAGAGCTCTTTGTTTTTGTTTTTCTTATAAGGAGTATGTGCTCATGAGAGGAGAGAGGGAGAGGGAAAGTGAGAAACCGTCTCCAGGGGGGGATGACCATACCGCAATCCCTCCTCTACTCTCTCTCTACTCTCTTCTCAGGACTTTGGGCATGCACACATATACACACACCTGATGTGTTTATCAAGCCTCACATCTGGGATTCAAATCATACAGTTCTACACATGTGGAATCCAGCCGCTGTAACCTCCACTGAACCTGCTAGCCCACAAGAAGTCTTTTTCTTTACCTTTCTTGCTTTCTTTCTCTTCTTTCTTTCTTTCTTTCTTTCTTTCTCTTCTTTCTTTCTTTCTTTCTTTCTTTCTTTCTTTCTTTCTTTCTTTCTTTCTTTCTTTCTTTCTTTCTTTCTTTCTTCTTTCTTTCTTTCTTCCCTTCTTTCTTTTTCTTTCTCTCTTTCTTTCTTGCTTTCTTTTTTTAATTTTATTTATTTATTTATTTAACAAAAAAGAGAAAATCTAGGCTGGAGTGGGCTGAGGAGTGAATGTGAGGTGAACTAATTGACAGATATAGAGAATGACTCTCAGATGTTGAGCACTGAAAAGAAGGCAAAACCTAGGGCAATATTTAGGGTATGGGATTCAGCCTCACCTTTTGTCATAAACCTGTTTCTTGTTATCTGATGTAGCAGTTTTACCACCTTTCAAGGTACTCATCTTGTAAAAGACTTTGTAATCTTTTGAATACTGCCAGTTTCCTTCCAGTTGGATTTGTCCAGAGGGAAACTTTGACTTTCTGTGTCAGTCTGGGCATTTGCTGATGAATCCAGTAGTGCAGAACTTTAATTAACAATATCATTTTTCTTAAACGATTCAATCACAGAGTGTGTTAATGTGAGTTATATAATGTGTTTAATTTAATTTTATGTCATTGACTGGGAAATCTACTACCTTGCTGATAACGTATTTGTCCTGTTAAAGGATCATGATACTGATTGTATTTACCTACAAAATAATTTGGATCATTATGAGTCAGAGTGATAGAATATTAAGGATCTATATTAGAAAGGATTAAATGGCTTTAAGAATCTTTTCTGTGTGGCTGGCCTGAGAGTTAGTGAATGTTCTGGAATAGAGATGTTCATGTAGTTACATGACTTCTGTGTTGCAGTACTTTCATGCTTTTTCTTTTGCTTCTGTTTTCAGAGAAAGCTAATACACTTACATTTTCTGTGATTAAAATATCTGAGGTGGAATAAAATGAAATATCTCAGCATGAAAGGAAGGAAAAAATGATATTTTTGGCTGAAACACTATAGGAGTTAAAAATAGTGTTTTAATAATATTAATATATTTTGAAATAAAATATCAAAGTTTATTTATGTTGGTTGTTTGACTATTTAAGGACCATGAAAAGATCCATGCAATTGAAAGGAAAGGGAAAAATTATTACTAATTCTTTCTCGCCTTAAAATGTACCAGTGAGAAGTTACAAGATATTTTATCAGACAGAACTTCTTTGAAGAAATTTAAGCTTAGAAGACACACAAGCACATGACCGCAATTTTGCTTTGGAAATAAATTGTAACAATTAAAAGAAACTATTTGGAGCAAAAACATTTGGTGGAAATTTATGACAATCCCCAAACACTTATTTTAAACTTAAAAATTAACCCACTTTTGTTTCTTTAATAAAATGCTTTCCCCTGCCTTCTCTGGTGATATGCTTTATGACTCTTATCTTAGGAATCTGTTAAATGACTGGAAATCAAAACCCATTAATAATCCTTTTTCCAGTCTGAATGTATTTTCTTTTATGAATACTCTGTCACCTTTACTGCGTTTAGCTTGAAT